AAAAAGATTGGAATTAGGTGTCATGTATAAGAAGACATTTCATGATGCAGTCTGTGTTTCATCCCTCGGCTGTACACACAGACCGAACAGTGCATGCGGATAGGAGTGGGAATCATCATACAGCCTCCTGTACCCACCATGCATTGAAAAGACATGTAACTAATTTGCAAGAAGGATAAGTGAAAGAGAAAGAGAAGGAGAGAAAGTGTAATAGCATGAAAGTAATAAAAGTGATGGAGCAGATGGAAGAGGAGGAGACTAACATATGAGACGGGTAATAATCGTTTATGTGTTAACATATGCAGTTTGTTTGGCGTTGCTGTCCCGCCACCATGGAGAGGAACACAGTCGAATTTTGATAATTAATGAAAACATTGGAGGTAGTGCCATTTAGATCTCCCAAATAAGTGAGCCTGTATGTACAGTGAGCTGGTATCCTGCCTGTGTTTCATCCCTTGTAGCATGGAAGCGATAGATCTAGTACTGCATGGATAACCGAATCGCCTAGGTAGCGATGCGAGTTACGGGTACCTCGTTCCCTCTTCGTGCGGCCTTGCGATTTGGCACGCTGTTGTACGCCATTGTTCCACCAGTAAAGATAAAGTTTTAGCATTCTTTTACTGGTGCCAATGCAGAGTATCCTCAACATTACCAGACCTTGTCGAGGCCAGTGTAAACCATACACTTACGAACCATATGTCCGGATCGTCGAGGCCACTGAATATCGAGACCACATATCGTCCGAGCACGAAATCCCCGCAGCGCACCAAGATTCTCGATCAGATGCATAGGCGGATCCAGGACAGACCCCTGGAGAGGAGGAGCGACGGCGGGTGAGGGAGAGAGTGGGGCTTCTGAGCGAGGGGGGGAGGGGGCGATGGGGACTGGGGAGGAGAGTCCCCTCCCATCCTGGAACTGTGCAGAAACTACAAATAGAGTAGTAACACTGCTACTTACAGTTACTTTACCAATATTTATTTCCAGTTCCTCACTGAAAAGTGGAAATGTTGCCAGAGCGGTCGTTTGTCAAAAAATCCAAATAAGTAAATGAACGAGATGTTGGAAGGGAATGATGGCGGTTGTTCGCTGCAAAATGCACTCGTTTCTGAGTTCGTTCAAACTGTACATGCTGGATGATACATAACAGCACACTTTGTTCATCAGTAATCTTTCATCCCCGCTACATAAGAGTCTCAACCCTTCTTTCTGCACTGCTTCAAGGGGCATCTCTTTTTCACATCGACTTGGTTTTAACTTTAGACCTGAGCTTTTGCAGCACCTGTGTCACTGAGTGAAGGAGGGAGAGAGAGGCGTCTATGATCAGTTGTAGATACGTTGCACTCGCTTTGGCCCTCTGGCAAGCGAACCCTGTAGTTGTTTATTTCAAATTTAACAGCTCAATGTGGCAAATTTTTTTTTGCAATGATAATTAAGTTGCTGCTCGATTTGCCGCAATGCATCAAAAATTGGTGGAGAAGCAGCCAACACTGCAAGAAGCCGATGCCAAAGTGAAACGAAAGTTCCAGGAGCACCAACATACTGTTCCCGGTGTTTTCAAGGTATTCCTGTTTGTAGCATTTCATATATTTATGGCAGAATTTTTACTGTACTGAGTAAATGAGGATCTAATTCGTTGGTTTTTGAGCGAAAGCTCAAACTTTTCTAATTTTTTTGAGGAAATTTTAATTTTTTTTGAGCAAATTTAAAGCAAAATTTGAGTGAAAGGAAAAAAAAAATTAAGATAATGTAGAATTGTAGATTGCTTTTGCCTCAATGATATTTTATTTTAGCGCTTGGCCACACCGAAAGCTTCGAAAGCGCGTTGTCCAAGGATGGGAACCAAATCGACCATTGCTGGGTGCGTTTTCGAGTGAATTCCTGAGTTTGTCTTAGTCTAAAAATTCGCATTTTTGCAAGCTTGAGCTAATTAGTTCGATTCCTTTTATAGGAAACCATGATATTTTACTGACTCGTTCTGCCTGTAAATTGAATCTGATTTTTGACAAGTAATTAAAACGATTTTTACCCTTATAAAATGCTGGAAAATTTTGGAATGCTACTAAAATGCTGATGAAAATAATCAAATTGACAACGTTTAAAAGGTTGGAGCAAAACGTGCCTTACGGCTGCATGTGTAATTTGGCCGCAGTGTAGGCCGACAAAGAAAAACAGTCGAATTTTATAAAATCAGTTAAAATTATCTGCAGTGGTTAAGCAAATTGCAGCATCCAGGTTGACCTTGAAATTGCCGATAGTAAGATGTGAAAAAATGAAATGAAGCATACTAAATGTAATTAAGTGAAACTGTTGATGAGGGAATGACCAAAAATTGTATATGTGTGCGTGTGTGTGTGCGTGTGGGCGTGTGTGTGAAATATTGAATGGGACGGGTGAGAATTGGGTTATGCAGCTAAATTAAGGAGGAATTAGTAGTGCAGACTACAGAAGATGAGAGCGAGATAAGAAGTTTCGATCCATTAAGTCATATACGTCTTAACTCAACACTGCGATTGGATATTTCGTCTGCATAACGGTCGCAGTGCATAAAACTATCCAGAGTTTGTGAAAAGCTAAATATGGGCAGGTTTTTGGCACCGGAATTTTGGCTTGGTGCCAATTGCTCCCTCGACTGTTGTTCGTTACTTAGTCGATCAGTTTTCAGATATAATTTCAAAAATGCTGATGCCGATCCAACGCAAATGGATTTTGCATTCTCGAAGATGTTTGGTAGTAAAAAATCTACTACTGCTACTACTACTACTACCACTACTACTACCACTGAAAATGCTTCACCCCCGTCCAGAATACCACGTCTTCGTAGACAGCGTGAACCAAAAGTATGCCAGCATTTCTGATTATCGTTTGTTTCTTTTTCCAAAATCCAATGAATGATTTGTTTTTTGCGAATTCTAGAAATGGCTCGAATATCTTGGCATTCTGAGGTCAAAAACAGGATATAAATTTTGCACAAAGGGAATGAACAATTTCCGTTGAACGGTCGTTTTTTGAAAGTAACCTAGCTGTTCAGTGAGCAATTTTCCCACCAAAACTTTTAATTGCCCGTCCATGAGAACCACACATATCTGGGAGATGAATTTGAAATATTTGAATGAAATAATTTGAAACATCTACTGGTTATCAGTGCCAATGGTTTCTGCTTCTAAAAATTGCTTAAAAAGGAACCTAAAGATATCTGATTGCTTTTTGTCGATATCAGTTTAGTATTGCAGTGAATTATTGATGTTTGTGTTTGCTGAGGGTTTTTTTTTTCCAATTCGAACTAGCAAAAAGCTAAAAAAACACCTCCCTCAAACATATTTAGGTCTAGATCAAGGGTTTTTTTTTTTCAGATGGATGTGAAGCAACTGACGAGAAATTTGCGTCGATCCCCTCGGATCGCTCTGTTGGCTCAGCAGCGTAATGGATTAGCAAAAGCGAATGCAGCAGCAAAAGGATCTGTAAAAGCTCCTCAGCTGAGCACCCGTCTACGAAGGCTGGCCACTCCAAAAGGAAGAAGTCTTGACAGTGGTATTTTTACTCCTTCAAAATACAAATTTTGAGAAATGTGCAAGCTAATCCAGTTGAAAAATCCAGAATTTTTGCTACATTTTACTTTCTGTAAGAGGCAAAGTCTAAATTAGAAATGAGAACACTTTCTTTTTTCCCATCAAGGAGAGAGGGGGAGGGTGATTCTCGAAAGTAGCTCGCGTGATAGCAAATGCCAACAGCAACCACTCACTGGCAAGGCTCTTGATGGCTCCTTTCCCATAGGCCGCTTTTGTGGGTTCGAACTAAGCATAGGCGG